ATTAACCGAGCATTTGCCACATGAAAGGATAGATCCTGAGACAGAAACTCTCTGCTCTAATTAGGAAGCCTCAGCTAGGAAGAGCATCCTTATCTGGATTTTTAATCCTGACTCTCCTCATAGTACTAGCATCAGTAAGACTGAGCATGCTAACAACTCTTTACACACTTCCCATAGAGCGATTCTGACAGTTTCTCTCCTCACTTCCCTCTCACCCTTGACAGAAGATGCTGGAATGCTTCAACTGTGCCCCTTCTGGTAGAACAATTGTCTTCAACATATTCCAGACTTCAAAAATATAATGAATGCCCATCATCTACTTCTTTTTGCTTAAGCACAAGCATATCTCACATTTCACTTGGCTAGGTGTTCTTCAGCAGATCACTCATCCCACTGCGTGTTTACCTTTGGACCTATTGACGCAGACTGGTATTAACCTGGGAGGTACAGCCCCAGCGCTATCATTTATAGAGGCTGGCTTTTACGTGATCTTCTTTTTTGTATCTGGGGCATCTTCACAGTAAGGTAACAGGCAATATACACAGGCTAAAGAGAAGCAGCTGGTCGTATACTACACTTTAATAAGGTAACTAAGGCTTATTCGAGTTCTTAAATGAATGGGTGTCTGAAAATTGCAAGGGTGTGACTGCTACTAAATGACAGTATGCTCAGGACAGCTTATTTAGTCATGGAAAACCAACCAGTTTTAATGGGTAAGCTGCCTTCCCAAACACAAGCAATGGTCAGCAGACTAAAGCCCCACAACCAAGAAGGGGCAACACATGAATGGTATGATCACCTGCACAGGCACAGCTCTTTACTGTATTATACTGCTACTGGATAAATACATTCCAGTCATTTTTGCTGCTGCTGAAGTATAAACCAGCAACAAGGAACTGCTGCGTGTATGATTTGTCTAAGGCTGGGAATAAAATATTAATAACATTTGATCCTACAGACAAGCAGCTATTAAAAAAGAATTACTGGAACACATGAAAAAACACTACAGTAAAGCCCTTTTTATGTCAAAAACCTCCCAAGAAAGACACTGGGAAAAATTTAGAGCAAGGGGGGAATATACAAGTGTACTAAAAGTATTATTTTCTTGTTTACAGGTAAATCAAACCAGCCTGTGACATTTCACAAACACTGCGAGCCTTCAGTGAGGCACTGCTAAATGTAAGCAGAGTAAGTGTAGTGGCTTGATATCTGAAATCACAGGGGTACAACAGACAGCCAGGAGCTGCATCCTATTATGCAGCTCAGAGAAAATGCTCCAGCACGGAGAACACCAACTTCGCTGACTCTTGCGCTTAGTCTGCTTCTTCAGCCTTATTCACCTGAGCACGTGGACTGCAGCGTCCCCCTCCTGCCAGATTGGCCCCATCTTGAATCAGAAACTTCTACTCTCACATTCTGTATTTTCTTGAGAAGAGTGAAGGACAATGGATTTATGCTGAGACTGTGATTTAGACATCCCCCAGAGCAGTCATATCCTCAAATCCTGACAGAAACTTATCATAAAATCTTTCAAAAACAGTGTACTATAATAACCTCAGAAACTAAGTGATGTCTCTATATATAATCTTTTTAATTTACCCAAGATTTATCTGATTGTCAGCAAAACATCCCAGTTCCCCTTTTATTTTCCACCTTCTTTATATCATTATGTTGAGTAAGTTTTTCCCACTACACTGTATCATTCTGTTCACAATATTTTCCCTGAAAAAAAGACAGTTGTTAGATACTTTACGAAGGAAAAATGATTATGTTCAAATGCCCCTGGGAAATGAAAAGCATAAGCAAGCAGGAGGTAAATTTTTAGCTAAATTAAAATGTAGTCTTATCCTTTCTGTTTGGGGTATCATTTTCTAGAAGGTTTTTAATTGAGAAATTCTCCACACTTGTTGGAATATCCTTCCAAATCCAGGCTGTAAAACAGACAACATGTACAGCCTACCTACAATATCCAAGGTAAACAGAAGTTGCTGACTGACTCTCTGTTCAGAGACTGGGGATCTGGAGCCCTTGAAGCTGAAGCTGAAGCTGACTGGGACGCACTGTGCCCTTCTACAGCAGCACAAAGAGAAGGGTGCACACTCTTGGGCAGTGTTAAAGCAAAAATAAAGCTATAGCGTAACTTCTAGGGCCCCACACGAACAAAATTATTCAACAGTGTAGGAGACATGGCCACAGAGGGACTTCATAGACATGTGAAGGTAGAAATACTGCCATCAACTTAGGCTGGACAGGATCTCTTTGAAATTGCACTGAAGTGGTGTGAAGCATCAGAAAGTTACCCATATCCTCTGCCCAGTCACAACCATACTGATTAATTCTCTTGCTAGTCAAGCAGGTTTCCACTATATTTCTATAAACTTACACTACCAATTCTCTCCTTTCTCTCCACTGAGTACTTGATAAGGTCATGACTACATCCACTGAGACCAAATACTTCTATATATAGAAATAATTGCCTGTGGAATTAAGTGCACTTGCCTGAGTATCTAGTTCATACTAAACTTAATTTAGCTGATTCTCCTCATCTGTTATATCCATTATTAGGGACAGCATATGCTGCAGCACTGCCTACCGAAGGCCGAAACTAATTAACTAATTGTGTGGCAAGGATGAGTTCCTCCGTGGGAACACTCACAGCCATCAGGTACAGACAAACTATCACAAGCAAGAACCAGTTCCTCCAGACAGCCATGTTACACACTTCTTTGTAAAGGAAGCAAAAGGAAGGTAGTATACTCTAGAACACCAGTTCTCATTAACTGCTTCAAATACATCCCACGCAAACAAAGCCAACATTTGAACAGACCCCATCTCAGGCAAAGTGTAGTAGATAATATGAGCTGATTGTGAATATGGGAAATGAAATACAACTTTAAAAGAGGCTTTAGGGAAACAATGTTGAGTTTCTGGACATGCTGCGCTCCAAAGCAGGATCCCTGGGGAGGAAGAACCACCAGTAGTGGAAGAGGATCAAGTCACGAAGCTCTGAAAAAATCTTAACCCTTACAAGCCTGAGGATCCAGAGAGAGCAAACCAATGTCACTGCGATGTCTTTATCATTCCTATGATTTTTTAAAGGTTATGGAGAATGAGAGAGGTTCCCTACAACTGAAGAAAGGTGAATGTTGTACATGTCTTCAAAAAGGGCAGTAACAAGCCATGGATCTATGGGCTGGTTAGCTTCACTCGGCTTCCTGGGAAAACCATGGAGCAAATCCTCTCAGAAACTGCTTCTGAGTACATGAAGGTGAAGAGGTGACTGGAACTAGTCAGCACAGACTTACCAAAGGTAAACCATGTCCAACAAAACTGGTTGCCCTAAATAACAGTGTGACTGAACTGTGATTGAGGGAGAGCATTGGATGTTTTCCACTTTGACTTTATCAAGGCTTTCCATACTTCCTCCTTACAGCATGCTGGTATATCCAAGTTGTATAGTCTAGACAGGCAGACTGTTAGCTTTGTGAAAAACTGGCTGAATCATCAGACTTAAAGGCCAGTGGTTAACACTATGTATCTACTTATAGGCCAGTTATAAATGAAATCTATGCTTAACACCTTTTACCAGTGGCCTGAAGGAGGAAAACATATGCACCCACCTCAACCCTCAGATGATACACAACTCACTGGCACGTCCAATACCCTTGAGGGCAGGGCTGCTCTTCAGAGGGCCTTAGGCTGGAGAGAGGAATGGGCCAACAGGAGCTTTATGTGGTTCAGAAAGGACAAATGACAAGCCCTGCTTGTGGGAAGGAAGAGCCCTTGGCTATGAGACAGGATGGGGACTGGCTGCCCAGGAAGCAACTCTGCCAAAAAAGACCTGAGGGCAAGAAGCTGAGCATGAAAAAGCAGTGCCCTGGCAGCAAAGATGGCCAACAGCATCCTAAATTATACCAACAAGAGCAAAGTCCAGCAATCAGGTGAAGTGGTTATCCCCTTCCAGATATGGTCCAACACAAGCTGGTTAATACATCCAGGTTGGGGCCCCAGGATACAAGAAGAATGTTGACAAACCGACACAACTTCAGAGGAGGTCCACCAAGACAGTCAGAGGACTGGAGCACTTGCCCTGCACAGAAAGGCTGAGGAAACAGGGCTTGGCTGCAGTTCAGGATGGTGACAAGATGGCCATGGGGGACTGCAAAGCTGCCTGTCAGTACCTATGGGAAGGGCTGCTAAGAAGACAGATCCAGGCTCTTTACTGAAGTGCATCCAGGACAATGAGCGATAGTGGCCATGAACTGAACCAGGAGAGGTTTGAACTTCATACACCGGCAGGATGCCACTGTGAGGACTATTTAAACACCATACTCAACTGCCCAGAGAGGTTGTGGAATATCTGCTCAGGCCCAGAGAGACAATGGCCAGAACAACCTGGTCTGAATTCACTATCAAGTCTGCTTTGAGTGGGATGTTGGACTGAAGGTCTCCTAAGGTCCTTTTCAGCCTGCAAGGTCCTTCCTACTTGCAGGCAGAGACCAAAACTGGAACCCCTAGAAGGCAAACTGAACAAGATGTCTCTTCTTGTCCTCATGAGGAATGTCAGCCTCAGCTTGTCTAAAAGACCTGGAGAGAAAACATTCTTTTTAAACAGATTCCACTGCAATGACTGTTCTCTACTTATCACAGTTCTCCAGGTGCATTTCTCAACATTTAGGTTTTTATCAACATAATGATAAGATCAACAGTATCAGCTCTATAGCAGGCTTGGTCTGAAACAGAAGATGTGACCCAAGTCAGGATTTATATACAGATTTAGAAGGAATAGGCTTAACCTGTATCTACTATCTACTATGCTTTGCTCTGGTGTAGTCGAAGTCATTCTTAGTTTATGTCAGCATAAAATACAGCCATGCTACTTGCCCAGTGGATTTCTTGATGTCCTTGGGAAAGAAGCTTTTAGATTCGAAACAGACAGCTATTTTTCAGAAGGCCTCCAAGCAATAACAAATAAATAAATAAATGAAGCATTTACTTACTTATTCCTTGAAAAAGTTCCTCAATGTTAACAGCGTTCTTTGCACTGGTTTCAACAACGATTGCACCTATAGATTCTGCGTATTCTTTGGCATCCTTCATAGGAACCTCCCTACCAAAAAAACCAAACAAGAACATAACAAATTTTCAATAAATAATCAAAAACGGTGCAATCAGAAAAGCATTAGTATGCTCTTCTCTGCAAAAGCAGTACTATCTTTCTTCTTCTTATGGCATCTTCGTATCCTAATATCAAAATTTCACCCATGATGGAGCTACAGTTTTCTTGGACTTGCTGCTGAATCCATGCCTTGAAAAAAAGGAAGATAATTTAAATGATGACCCCATTTGTTTGTTTTGGGGTTTTTTAATCAAACTTGGCCATGATAAAAAAAAGCATTAAAACACATGAGAAAAGACACAAAACTCTGCTGGTCCACACCAAGTGATCTGCACGACCCATACCAAGTGTTTAAACAAGACAGGGTATGACCATTGTAAAGAACGTGTGTCTAAGTGTTTGCAAGCAGCGAGGAAACAGAGATTCTGAAAGAAATATGGAAGCCACTGACTGAGCACACAGGCAAAGACAATCTGGGACTGCCAGATTCACTGAGGAGTGACCACCATTCTGTGCCATGTCACAGCAGTGACACCATCTTAAAATCACTGGTAGAACATCCTCACTTTGTAGCCATCACTTCATATGTCAAAAGCTGGTAAATGCAGTTTACAGCCTGCAAGAGACCTCCGCTTCAGACACAAAGCCAAGCCCCCTGCTGACCCTGGATATGCCTGAACCATGTGGAAAAGCTGAATCTGCCTGTGTTTGCTGCTGTCCAAAGCCACCACTATTCCTGAGACTGAACACACTAACAGGCACCCAAGGTGTATCCGATCAGGGGAGACACATTGAAATACCAGGCTGCCAGCCTTATTTTATTTCCAGTTGTTCTATACACCAACTGCTGTGATTTGTGTGGCTTTACAGCTCTGTCGCACACACTGCTCTGATGTACCAATCCAGAGACTCCCAGTACAACTTCCTCCTAGTATGACTGCCTTGTGCTTTGACAGAAGGTATCTAGGTGGGAGCACAGCAATGCAATTTCACAATTAGCTTCTGAAGGTATGTATTTTAAATTAATCAGACCTGCTGTTCATGGGAAATGTGCAGAGAGACAGAATAATTGCCTGGTTTATTACAAATGGTTTTCAAAAAATTAGCCTGCAATTCCAGCATCTGGATTCAGAGCTTGTTTCCATGACTTGCTTCTTTGTATTACACATCTTCTTACTGCAAAGGCACAGGGAAAGCAGCATTCCCATTACTATTTCTGTAATGCCACCTTGGCCTTGTTTATGAAAGGTACCACCATCTGCGGATGGCCCTGGAGATAAGAAAAAAGGAATGTAACTATGTAAGATAATATTCAAACAACATCAAAGGAAGAGATGTGAGAGCATAAGAGTCAAGGCTATGTAATTAAGACTGTCAACTTGCTGTAATTTAGATGAGGATGCAAACTTCAGGAACTGAGGAAATGGTTCAGCAGCAGCAAGTGACCATATCCCAAGGAAGTATCACAAAACTTCTTAGCCCCATCTGATGACATTTCTAAAGGAGGCCTATAGGAGTCCACAGCACATGGGCAATAAGCATCATGCCATCCAGTGCTGCCAGCACCAAGAAGGCTGCATGCATCAAGTAGAATTAACATAATCTGGATGTCAACATTGCTAAGATGCTACCTTGTCAAAAGGAGAAGCGTAAGTGCTTGAACTCTAAACCTAGAGATGAGCACACGCAAGATAGGGTGAAGAGAGAAGGAAGCAAGAACCATCAGTGGAGTGCTGAGAAAGTGTTATTCCACAGCTACTGGGAAAGTTAGAGGAATACCTATTCTGAAAGATTCAAATTATTTCATAGAATCATAGAACGGTCTGGGTGGAAAGGACCTTAAGATCATCCAGTTCCAACCCCCTGCCATGGGCAAGGAGGCCTCAAACTGAACCATGTCACCCAAGGCCTTGTCCAACCTGGCCTTAAACACTGTGAGGGATGGGGCAGCCACAGCTTCTCTGGTTAACCTGTTCCAGTGTCTCACCACTGTCATAGTACAGCTTTCTTGTATCTCATCTAAATCCCCCCTGTGTAAGTTTGAACCCATTATCCATCCCAACCATTGTATTGATTCACTCTGCCTTGAGATTTTCTGAATAATTACTGAATAAAGAAGTATTTTGGAAGCAGAGAGAGAAAATCTGAGCATGAAATTCTGCTGAATTCTCTTAACCAAGGATCTAGCAATTTCCAGTGAACACTATTTCTTAAGAATGTGTGCCACATTTTTAGGGAAGTAAAATACTTGTAGCTGCTGTTATGACTACTCACTTTTATAATGCTCAAAAAGTATTTTTAGCCACTTAAAACAATTTAACACTGAAATCTCAGCTCCTGTCTTTGAAACTACTTTTTAATAACCTGCCAGAGGACAGGACACGTATCAGAAAGAAATGTCTATTACTATTACTTATAGAATGCCAAACACTCAACAGTACTAAAGTTGACAGCACTATAGCAAAGATGAGGATTTTTACTAAACAAAATTGCCTGTCCCCCTACAGAAATTCCTTCAATATGGAGGGGAAATTTACTTCAACAGATTGCCAAGATCTGCTGATAGCCTAATTAACAACACTGAGAAAAGCAGCATGACCCCTAAGTGTCCCAAATCCATCCTGGCAGCTCAAAACCAAATTTTAGATGCTAAATAAGCAGGGTAACATTGTGAATGATTATGAGAAATAGTGTCAGTCTTTTCCCAAAGGAGGATAATCAGTTCTTATTGCTTCCATTCATTCCTCCTTACATTATGCCTTCTACGGTCAGAGAAGGCAGACTCAAATCAACTTGAACCAGGTCAGCCTGTCCTCTTTTGCATCTGTTCACATTGGTCTTAAAAGTAGCTGTCTCTCTGATATCCACCAAAACATCTGCCAAAAGTTCTACAAAACCAAAGCGAGATGCCAAAAACGCATACAAACAGCAGCTTGCTCCTGTGTGCTCACACCATCTTATTTTTAATTTCTCTGTGCCCAAGGGCATATGTATTTTCTACTCACTGGACACAACCTGATAAATTGGTGACACATTTCACCTAAAATCATTTTTCCTGAAGTAAATTTGAAGACATAAAGCAGTCAGAGAATGCATACAGCTACATGTGTTGCATAAACAATCAGATTTCTGGAAGGACTGTGAAAACATATCACGTACAAGACAGTCTGCCCTCTATTTTTCCACCAAAATCTCTTCAGCTGGACATCACTGGATGACTTCAGAAAGAAAAATGGCTGGGGGACGCAGAAAAAAATAGCTGCATGAAAAAACATTCTCAAAACTATTCATAATTATGGTGAGAAAAAAAGCCTCCTCCCTATAAATAATAAAAAAGGAGTAAGAGACATTAGTTCACAGGGTACCATGAGGACCATGCAAACACCAGAACATTTTGTGCATGGAAAAGCTGTACTGGCTGAACAGGAGCAAGAAACAGATGATCAGCAATCGGTAAACAAGTAATGTTTGAGAATAACATGGTGGGAAGATCAGTCACTCTGTAATGAACCCCACTATCCCCACAGCTTTTCTAGGGTGCAGAGTTTTCTTCATGTCCTCAGGTGGAATAGCATTTAAAAGCTTGCGGCCATGGCAAATGCTACCAAAAGCAGGATGAGGGCTGGTTATGGATTCACCTGCAATTGCTGCCATTTGTCACAATCTCCAAACTTATTGCCCTTGATTTAATCAGGCAATTGTATTCTGGGAACATTTACGCAATGAATTTAAAGTGACTCTCAGGGCAACTGAAAACTCTTATTAGTACTAACTGGTTTTTGGGTTTGTTTTAATAATCATCCTTTTTTCCTGCTTCATATTTGGAAACTTACGTTTTGTCATACAGCACTCAGTTTCACCACGTTGACAAGCATCATGCCAATATACTGTCTCCCGATTCTTAGCCCAGCAGAAACCAGGAGTCTTCTAGAATCAGGGCTTGTTCTGATCTTACAGGAATCAATTACTCACAGTTTGTGTTGCTTCATGGCTGATGGGAGCAGAGGTGAACAAAGAAAACAACCCCCCCAAAAAACCCAAAACACATATGCCTTGATTGCATACGCCTTGATTAAATAGAGCACTGCATCACTTGAAATTACACACATGCTTCAGGGTTCTGGTGAACCCAGACCAATGTAATGATTATAAAACTACAGGGGGATGTATTTGAACAACCATAGGAGCCTATGAGATCCTAAAAGGAAAACATCAAATATGAATGTTAAGTCTGTACTCATAGTTGAAGCAAGAAATTAAGAGAGTCATGGGCTGACACAAAGGATCATTCCTGTATAGCAGAATGTGCTTCCATTTCCAGAAAGGATAAATGCAAATCCAAAATAGAGCTAACAAGCAGAACACTGGCTTCACTCTTATGCCAGACAGCACCATGGCAGCTCTTCTGCAGGAGTGCAGATACAATCATCCCCTTTCACCCTGGAGGTTCTTTGCTTCATACTGATGACACAAGTTTTGCTTTAAGTTATGCTGCTAAGAAACAAAAATGCACTTTCTACACCCAGTATTATGGGACAGTTTCAGTTGTGGCAAAGCACAAGTTCTCGGAGCTTCTCTGTGAATAACATTATTCTACCTCAAGCCCAGCCTTTTAGCTCTACACCGCTGGTTTTGCTCATTGCTTCATACATTCTTCACCTTTTCATATGAATGGAACATAATAAAGAAAAACAGAATACTTCTCCATTCCAAATGGTTCAGCAGCCAAAGGGTGTACATTGCACAAATACACAGGAAGGGCAGTAAAAGAGGGATAAAAATAAGTATGTAATTCAAATTGTGCTGCTGCTGGCAAGTTCGTTAGGGAAGACTCAACAGAGCTGACCAAAATTACATACTATCGTAACAACGGTACAAATCGGTTACCTGAAGGAAGGAAACAATATAGTTACTGCAATTAAAGCAACAACAAAAATAATGTATTACCTGATATCAGAAAGATCACATTTGTTTCCAGCAATGGCCATTACAATGTTTTCAGGACCATGTTCTTTCAGTTCTTTCACCCATTTCTTCAAAGTATGAAACGAATCCTAAGTCAGAGAAATAACAAATAAGCTAAAAGCCAAGGCTCCATTGACGTATTTGCTTATTTTGTGAAGTTAGAGGAACACAGCTTTGACAGTATTAATGCAATAATAACTTTATAGATCACAAGACCAGAAGATCACTGTATCTATGTAATCTGCTTTTTAAACTTTAGGTTATAAGACTTCCTCAAACTAATCTTGAACTTGGACACTTGGCCCCTTTGCCCACCTCCCTTCCCCTCTCCCCCAAAGCACTGAATGTCTTTCTTAAACTTTCTTTTTTAGGCTAGTAGCCATTTCCTTCACTTTTAATGTGAGCTTCATTTATCTAAGATCTGCCCAGTGAGTTAACATCCCAACCACTGTCATATTTTCAGTAACACCCAGGAAAGCTTTCACAGTGACACTCCTCTCCCCTCTTCTCTGAATCTGTGACCTGGTAACCCCCAATTTACTCATTATGAAACCAAAGGGACAGGTGAATATTCACTTGGCTTCTTCCCTCCAAGTACAAAATCCAGACACTTTTTGATGTTACCTTTTAATAGTAAATTTTCTATTTCCTTACACTGATGAACTAATAGCATTAAAATCACTGCTGCTCCTAGGTTGAAATTATTACTGAAACTCAAAGTGGGTTCTCAGATATATAATAAACCATTCTTCCCCTTCAGAAATGCACCTAAGAGTTACGCCTAAATCAGCAACGGCTGTATCAGTATCACTGAAGGGAGAACACTATCAGTCATTTGGAGAAAAATGAAATCCATTGTTTTAACAATCAACACTGAATATTAAGCACCAGAAAGTGAAAAACACATTGACCTTCCTCTCCTGTTTTCCCCTCTTGAGCTGTTCCACATAAGCTTGGAGAAAGGCTGGCAAAACAAAACTCTATTCCTATAATGCATTACAAGATCAACTGTGAGATACATGAATTAAGAATAAGCATCAATCCAGCATGATTCACTCTTCCTCATCTTTTCTTGGGAAATTAGAAAAGGAGAACAGTACTGCTGTGCAACAGTGGCCACCATCATTAGCCACAGATCATTACACTAACCCACTGGAGAATCAACCCAGCCCTCTCAGCCTAGTAGTAAATAATTCAATTGGCAGGGAAGGAGTAAAATGCTGGTGAAGTGTCATGACCATCCACCCATTAATACCACCTCTAATTCAGCTTTATCAGCAGGGGTTTCTTTTAAAAGCAGTGGAAGAGGCCTTCAGCTAGAACCTCCTTGACTACTCTATCTGAAAACTGAGCCAGAGCCTTTTAGGATCAGAAAATATAATTTTCATTCCAAATTAATAATGTTGAAACAAAGGCCAGAGACTTTATATTTCATTACTGGCTTCAAAGTTAAGATATGAGTCCCACAGTGCAAACAGGAGATGATATGCTTAGTTAAAAATAATTAGTTTTAAAATCAGTAACATGCAAACAACTGAACTTGTGTTCCATTGATAAAGCAACCAGCTGCTTTTCATAGTAAAAGTTCAGTTCCATACAGAGAACAGAGGTGGTGGTGGTGAAAGGGGTATTGCAGGGTATTACCCTGTCTACTCAGCCAGAGGAAATCCAAAGGAATGCAGTCTCTGACCTTTTGTCTAGATGAAGTTTAAACAACACAGAAGCAGAACTTTGTGTTTAATTTTTTAAGGCAGTGGACACCTCCATCCAAGTCTACACAAACTATCAAAGCCCCACAACAGGGATTAACTTATAAATGCTTCTGCAGTTGTGGGTTTTAAATCCAGCACTGGTCCAAGCAGAAGAGTTGACACAAGCAAAAAGCATACAGGTGGTCTTACCTGTTTGGTGATATCATAAACTATCACGGCTGCTGCTGAACCTCGGTAGTACATTGGAGCCAAGGAATGAAACTGTTAAAACACAACACCCCCGCCCCAAAAAAAACATCATTAATAAATCACAGTTATCACACTCCGTGTCAGGTCACAAAGACCTGCCATGGCAGGACCACTGACTTTCTTTCATCCCATAGAGAAGAGACCTTTTGAGTGGCTACCCATCTCTAATTCTTCTCAAATGTCAAAGAAGCAGAGATCCCTTAAATCCTGCTGTTCTTTATCCTGATGGATTTATGTAATCAGCACTTAGTAGTTCAATGCATCTTTTCCACTAAAGGGCATGGATTCTGAAGACAAATTCTGATACACAGATCACCTACACTTGGAGGGCCAACTTGACAGCATTTAGACCCCTTCACCTGACAAACCCCAACATTTTGCTTTGTAGTTGGTAACAGACTGGATTCATCTGGGGCTCAAGTTTTATAAAACACTGCAAATGACTTGGATAAAATTAACTTGTCAAAAAACTCTGACCACCTGTCATGTTTACTTGTCTATGACAGCTAGTTAGAAAAACATGGGTTCCTGCAGTGCAGTTACTCTTCAGCTTCTTGTTTCAAGGGAAACATCCTCTAAGAAAAAAACCACAAGCAATAAATATGTTTATTATAACAACAGCTTGCCAATGACAGCATAATTTTTGTAATTTACCATGACTAAGCAGCTGATTTAGAATTTCAGCTTATAATTACACAGAGAAAGGAAGTCAAAAAGGCTTTCTGCTGATTCAACTGAACTTTGTCTTAAGCAAACCAAAAATAATCTTTCTTGGAAAAGACATTTACTCTCACTGTACTCTCGCAGCCATTTCACAAATCTTTATTTGCAAAGTGAACTGCAAAAGCTTCATATAAAGCTGTAACTAATAGCAGAGGTCAACTCCTAAATCAAATGCATGACTAAAGCAGGGCATTCACTGCCCACTGAACATGCACAGATCCACATGTTAAGTTGCAAACCTCTGCAGATTTACTGGAGACATCCTTTTCTCAGAACTGTGATTACAGACTGAGCATTTAGACCTAGCAGCCTGCACGTTTCTTGCTGTTTCATGTGCAACGTATAAAGTGAGTTAATTGTAGTATTGGTTCACTTGCCAGTGTGTAAGCTGTTCATCACAGATCACACACTCGGTTCAAGGTTGATACTTTCTCTCATAACAGCAAGGATGCACAACAGCAGTGACAGATGGTCAAGTGCTGAAGTGTTTTGGGGAGCGAGGCAGGTGGTAGAGCTCATTAATAGGAGGAAACAGCAGGAAGGAGGATGAGAAAAGAGAGAGGAATCAGTCAAGAAGCGTGATCTTAACAAAAGGGATCAGCCAAGATCCTGGGGGAGCTAGTCAGACACATGTCCTCCAGGCTTTCAGTGTGTGGCTTGTATTACTTGCATGTTTAATGCAACAAATGTTTTCCAGATTTTTTGGGCTTCTAGATCATGACATTCATTTCCAGTGTGTTACAACAGAATAGGCTATTTCAGCTGGAAGGGACTTACAGTGATCATCTAGTCCAAATGTCTGACCAAACCAGAGCTGATCAAAAAGCATGTTATTAAGGGCATTGTCCACATTTGTCTTAAACGCTGACAGCTTGGAGCATAGACCACCTCTCCAGGAAGCCTGTCCCACTGTTTGACCACCATTTTGGCAAAGAAATGCTTCCAAATGTCCAGTCTGAACCTTCCCTGATGGGATGCAGCTTTGAACCATTCCCAGGTGTCCTGTCACTGGATCTGAGGCAGAAGAGAGCAGCATTTCCCTCTCCACTTCTTGGGAAGCTGTAGAGAGCAATGAGGTGGCCCCTCAGCCTCCTTTTCTTCAGACTAGACAAGCCCGAAGTCCTCAGCTCCTCAAAGGACATTCCAGCTCTTTCAGGAGCTTTGTTGTCCTCCTCTGGACACAGTCAAGGACCTTCACATCCTCCTTAAATTGTGGGGGCCAGCACTGTACACAGCACTAGGACTGAGACTACAATCATGCCTTTTGACCAGCTGGTTCTGCTGTGTTTGATGCACCCCAGGATGCAGTTTGCCCTCTTGGCTGCCAAGGCACACTGCTGACTCCTACTGAGTCTACTGCTGACCAGCACCCCCAGATTCCTTTCTGCAGGGCTGCTCTCCAGTTGCTCCTCTCTCAACTTATATTAGTGCCTGGCATTACTCCATCCTAGGTGCAGAGTTCAGCATTTCAACTTGCCAAATTTCATCCCATTAACCATTGCCCAATTCTCCCACCTATCCAGATCCCTCTGCAAGGCATCTTGTTGCCCAAGAGAGTCAATAGCACCTCCTAGTTTGGTACTGTGTACAAACTTACTAATGGTGGGTTCAACTCCTCCATCCAGACCATTGATAACATCTTGAACACGACTGGCCCTACAATTGAACCCTGAGGAACACCACTGGTGACTAGTCACCACCCAGATGTAGCCCTATTCACTATAACCCTTTGAACTCTGACTCACCCAGTGTTCCATAAACCCACTCATCCCACAGTTGGACAACTTGATGATGTGAGGGGCAGTATCAAAAGCCTTACTAAAATACAGAAAATCTACAGATTTCTTTCTAAATTACAGAAATTCATCGCCTTCCATTCATCCATTAGCCAGGTGACCTTATCACAGAAGGAGATGGAATTAGTTAAACAAGACTGTCCCTGTGTGAGCCCTCCTCCCCCATGTCCTTTTTGTAGATTGGAATAACACTGGCTAGCTTCTAGTCAGCAGGGCCCTCCCCAGAATCCCACGTCCTTTGGTAGATGATGGAAGATGGGTCCTGCTGTAACACCCGCTAGCTCCTTCGGAACTCTGGGATGAATCCCACTAGGTGCCATTGACTTGTGAACATTCAGCTGATACAGCTGGCTCCTAACAATTCCAATGTCTACAAATGAAAAGTCACTGTTCCTGCACTTGTAGTCCTTCAGTGCAGGGGACTGGACAGCCTAACATCTATCAGTGTTATTCAAGGCTGAGGCAAAAACCACAATGAACACCTTCGCTTTTTCTTCATCCCTGTTACTCAGATGACCACGTTCAACAAGAATGTTTTCTTCAGACCTCCTCTTGCTATTAATATGCTTTTAAAATCCCTTCTTGTTATCTGAAACAACACTGTCCCATTTCAACTCTCGTTGAGCCTTGGCCTTTCGTGTCTTCTCCCTGCATAAACAAACTACAGCTCTGGACTCTTCTTGAGAAGCTTGACGTTGCTTCCAGAGAGCATACAGTTCCTTTTACTTTGTGAGCTCCAAGAGGAGTTCCCTATTCATCCAAGCTGGTCTTCTGTCCTGCTTACTTGACTTGCAACACAGTAGAATTGCCTGCTCCTGTGCTTCACATCCCAAACAACTCTTCCTCTATTCACAAAAGTAACACTAGGAGGGCATCTCTCCTAGTGAGTACCTGTGACAAGAAGTTACCTCCTACAAACTTCAAGAATTTCCAAGACCTGCTCATCAACACATGTGTTGCATTAACAGTAGCCTGAAAATTAGGGACCTTAATTGTAGAGGATAGATCTAACCTTTCATGGTGTATGCACACTCATCACACAGTATGTTAGAAATTGGAAGGGACCTCAAAAGATCATCTAGTCCAATCCCCCTGCCGGACTCCTCCCAGTCTGTAAACTCTTGGGATAAAACCAACATAGTCTACACACATGGAGATTTGGTTTTAATCTGGATTACACAGTATTCATAAATTTACAAAGAGCTCTAAGATAACAGTAATCACACTTCCCAGGAGCCATGCAGTTAAACTCACATACTTCAAATTCCTTCAGTAATGGCCCAGAAAGCACACTGAGAACCTGTACAACATCTTGGGAATTTCAATCCTTTTTCTTCTGACCAGGTGACAAGAACACTTTCCATAATAGCTGTTTCACTGAAGATTATTGCCAGTGTTAGGGCCAGAAAATAGTCGTGGTAATAACAATAACAAAACAACACAAAAGCAGACCTCTTTCACTGGATCATGGACAAGTAGAATTGAATGCAAACAACCATTTTTTGGGTAGGATTAATTTTTAGCTGGATTCCCAAACCAGCTTGTTGTTCATCAGATAAGCTCCAGGCTCAACCAAAAGGAAAGGGTGGGAAAGCATGGCTGAGAAAAAGGAGGGAAGACAGGACTACTAGAAAGCAGATTCACGAAGTTTAGACCACACTCAAATAGCTCTGCGCTTGCAGAACTTCTTTGTGCACATCTCTGCTGGTACAGTCTACTGTCACTGGCAATTTTACTGTTTTTCCCATAATGAAAGCAATGGTAATTTAAAATCAGTGCAGGTAATATGCAGAAACAAAGAAAACGTATTTTGAAACATTTCTGGAGATTAATTAGGCTTAATGACAACAGTGTGTTGCACTTCAACAACAGAAACTCCAAACTGTGTCAAGCTATGTTTGACCTGCTGCTTATTTCAAGAAACATAAAAAGCATCAACCAGAGGCGCAGCATGTGGGAGGAATGCATTTAAGACAAAATAATCTACTTAAATATCCTAATTCTTCATAAGACTGGAAAGAGGGAGGGCAAGACCACAGCAAGCTAGGCTCAGAAAGGCAACTGCCTTTGAAAGGCGCTCAGGCTCAGTAGTTGTTGCTAATGTAAGTATGATCTCCCTCATCTACTCTACTGAAAATCTACTTGCTCAGCTGACAGGATAGTTATTTCCTCTTTCATGATTCTTGAGTAATATTTTAGCTATGAGGCCTTTAAAGAGGACAAACATTTTGCCCACATTTGGGCATGCAGATTCACGATCTGAGTGTGTTTTTAATATCGAGGGATAGAATTCATCTGGCATGTAAATTCATATTCCCATTTGGATAAACCTGACACTCAAGATTTCGTATCTTACTTTAGTCAAAGTGCCCAAAATGGGATTACAATGCATCTTAATGCAATTTCTTATAGTCTGAGAAGTACTTTTAAATTGTTTAGTAACAACTGAAAGTACACCAGTAACTGTTATCAGTTACAAAAGTAAAGAATATC